AAAATCTATCGAGAGAGCGAATAGTAAAGTGAAACGAATAAGAGGGCGTGAAAGTGGGATAAAATATTTATGCATTTTAATTTGACTAACTGACATGCAACTTTAATCAACATACGGTACATAATATCGAAAATAATAAAATATATATAAGTAATGTAATATAATATAAAACGACGTTCATATGTATATATATGCATTATACAATAACCTAATGTTAGTATGCGCGGAAATCTAATAAATTTGGAATCATATATAAACTGTTCACGGATTTGCTATCCAGCATTTTTCTCATAAATACGAAAAAAAGTAAAAGATGCTACATATATCATACTGATTTTTAGTATCATATAAATAAAAGAAAAATTTTGAATATCTCGTACCATTTTATTTCTAATACGTAAAGAACGTATTCATAAAATATTCAATCTTGTATTTTATTGCAGATGATTGAATTCGTCTTGGTTTGCGCGTTTATATGAAATAAAAAAAAAAATATGTAGCATTCTATTTGAAAAATTGAATTCTAAAATAAATTTCATGCACCATTGTATTGCTTACAAAAATACATTTCGTTTTCCTCTTTCATCTTTTCCCCTTATTTTCGGTTTGAGAGAAAAAAGCTGGCTAATAAATCTGTGAACATTCTGTATAAACGTACTTATATATCTCTGTTTCATGTCCACGAATAACCTTTGAGTTTTCTATCATCGAACATATCTCTCTAACATACGTCATGTAACAATCGTAGTTGTGCGAGCTGTGTGTAAAACGGTGCATTTTATATACAACATTGAAATCTTAACAACTATCAGGGAAGGTGAGGAGATTCATTTCGGTTCGATTCAATCGTTTCGTTCTTCAGGAAGCGAAAACCTGATATATCTTGGTGAACACCCCGTCCAAAGTTTTACTCCACGCCTCGGCTACTTCCGGCGTGTACTGCTTTCCTAACGCTTGACGAAGGACTTCCAGCATTACTTCCTTCAAATTCTAAAAATCAGAATCAAATATATACGATAAGTCGTGTATGATTTTTCGTGTTTGATCTGTTCGGAAAGTCTTGTTTGGATCAAATTTGCTCTTCTTGAAGAAAATTGTTTTTTTGACAAGCGATAGGCGCTTATCATAGTGATGTGAGTCATAGTGATCATAGTCATGTGACATTGTAACATTGTAACATTTCCTTCTGCTTCGACGAATGTTTTCGATCGCATTAAAAACCAATATGCAGGTTCTTTTACTTGTAACGAAAGTTAACCAAGCGAAAGCTTCGTTCGATCTTAGTGCCGTTAGTTTCCTACCTGAAATTCCTCTTTCGTTTGGCCACGCTTTTTATGCCTCTCGGCCAAGCCGATTAGGCTAGCCTCCATTAACGCTGGGTCATGCAAGGAATCGATCACATTATTTAAAGCTGTAATTACGCTGGCACAATGAGCTTGAAATCGTTTGTTAGCCGGCAGTTCGTTCAGTGGAGTGTCCTTGAAAGCTGGAAAGTATTGTTGATACTCAGGATATTTCTTAAAGAATCTGCAAAAGAAATCGTCGAAGTCGAGTTTCAATCAATTGGATCAAAACGTGAACGTTTATAAATTGAAATTTTATAATTGCTGTATGAAGATTATGCAAAGGTATTTTACTACGAAGTACTATAATAGTTTAAAAAGGGAATAATCTGATAGATTTGAATAGATTTGAACCTGAACCTTTTGAAAATGAGACATTGTAAGAAAACGAATATTCATTCAATTGTATTAGCATCACTAATGTTATTAATTTCTTTTCAATATTCAAGCTAGTGACAAAGACACAATCTCTCGAAATCAAGTGCAGAAATAATTCTAATATGAAATGATTTGATTGATTAGAACATTAAATGTTCTATGAAATACGGAAGATATCACGTTCTTTACTTTAAATGTAACCTTCACATTTAAAGAAAATGTTTGTCGAAGTCATCTGTTGTCTGAACAAACAAAATTTACGATTACTAATGGCCATAGTACATTAACACATTTATCGCGATTAACATTGAACTGCGATGATTCATCAGTTCGTGGTACGTAAAGCATTGAAAATCATAAAATAATGCGTAGTATTATAATCAAATTAAGAGAACTAAGTTTACTTTAAATTATTTATCTCCAACAAGCAATAGAAGCAATAACATAAAATACAGTAGTGTAGACAAATTATCTCTCGAGTTCTACATTATCAATTAAGATAAACACCACATCGTAACGATGTTACGAAAGTTATCAATCATGCACGTCCATAACAAGTTGTACGACATTTAAAAAACAAAAAAAAAAAAACATATCTTTCTGTAACTTGCGTAGATAACCCTAAACAGTACAGTTATGCATGAAAAACATATCGCTGGTTCAAATGTTCTTCAAATCATATTTTGGAAATGATCCAGCTGATTTTTCGAAACGAACCATCCGCACTTTCTCCGAGTTGAGAGGGAATACGTATCACTAAAAGAAAAAAAAAGAAAAAGAAAACCGACAATATCACTTACGTGGTCATCACAGCAGTTCCAGAAGCCACCTCGTCCTTTCTGACAACGGCCCACGTGTTCTGCACCAATTTCTTCTGTCTCTCCGTCAACCCTGTAGCTTCATCGATCCTGTTGTCGTCGGACGACGAGATCCCGAGCAAACGGAGGAACGTTCCCATGTTCGGTGGCCGGATATCGTCGCAGGAAAAAAAAAAAATGGCGGGACCTTTGGACAAAAAGGAAACAATGATTTTCGTTTGCCGAGCGCGGGAGAAACCGCTGCGCAAACGGCGCAAGCGGTGTACGCGCGCGACTCGATGATACGAGCATTTCGTTACAAGGATCAATGAATGAGAAAAAAGCGAAAAAGGTGAGCCCGTGGAGCGAGGGTCTGCACGCTCGTTGAATAAATCGATTGGACGTCTGGATCACGTCATGATCGCCGGTCATCAGCGCGCAAACGGTGGATCCCGAGCCCAGCACAATTACCGTAATTCTATGTGATATGTCACGTGCCACGTACTGCCGTTTCAATTCGCTCAATCGCTGACACGGTTGGACGACGACTACTCGTTCTTCGAGCCCGACTGACGGCACACTGCCTATCTAATGCTATTTTAAATCCACCCCCTCCGCTTGATCGCAGCCGCTGCTGCTAATGCCACGCGGTTAAATGATTAAGGAATTAAGCCTCTTTACACGATCAGCAACCAACTGGCTAAGTCGGTTAACCGATTCGGCTGGTTAACGCTTTGGTCAGTGAACTCGGCCACTCGTTCGTTCGACCGAACGCCGATAAATACCGTTCGATCGGTCCGATCGGTTGCTGAAAAGTGGCAGGGAACGACGACCGCCACCAATGACCGCTTCGTTAGCCTCCTAAATTGATTTGCGATCGCGCGCCACCCGGTCGCATCCGGTTGATTAATTCGTATCGAGTTATCCCGATACGGTGAAACTCGTTACTTTTAATCGATCAACCTTGCGCTATACCGTTGCCGCAGTGCATGCTCGGCGACAACATGCGCTATCTGCTCCTTGCTTCCGTGCTTTTTGCATCCTTGCTCGTCGTTTACGTCCCTGTGTGTTTCCAGTGGATCCTTATATCGTCGACATTCGTCTTACTTAAGCATCGAGTCGTTTCAGCCTGCCTTTCTTCGTGAATGATGAGATAAGATGACGAGTTTAGCACGACTTGAATTAAATCGACTAGAAAAAAAAAATCGAAGAAATGACAATTGCGGAAGATACGTATAAGCACGTATACGTAAGATGAGCATAAGTATTTTAAACTGGAGCAAATTATTAATTAAAAAAAGTAGAAACTATGTACAAAATCCTTCACATAGGCTAAAAGTTCAAAAATTAACGATTAGAAGAAATCGAGGAAATAGTAAGTGTGACAATTACAGATGTGAAATACGTGTAAGTATTTTACACTGGAACAAATTATTAATATAAAAGTAGAAGTTACAACATCTTCCGCATATCTAGAAGAATTCAAAAATTCGTCGAAAATATCATTTTACGACACACAGAGATAATTCAGTATCACTTTCAGAATCAGTCGACAGTCTTTTTAAATAACAATTTAAATAACGAAAACGAAACAAATCAAACGAAAGGGAAAAACGTCAAGACGAGACCGAACGTTCGTGATCGATGTTCATGTAATCCTGACCATAATTTCTGTCACTGACGTCACTCCGCGAGCTACACTGGTCAAACTTGACCGTCTAAAGCTCCCGTAGGACTTCCACGTAGGACGCAGCAAACGGGGTAAATTTCGACGAACGTCAGAAAGTCAAGAGATAAAAAAAGTGTTCCGTTAAGATTTTCAAGATGACACGATCATTCTTGGCTACATTGTTTCGTTCTATGCCGACAGAACGTGATGCGATTGATAACTATCTTTCTTGATGTGCACCTGTCAGGTGGCAAAATTGCAACATCGCTTTAATTGTTTCGCATGAGATTCACGTACTGTGTAGAAAACACACAAGTAATTTGTCTTGAGATACGTCTTGGCCTTTCGTAAAATAATAGGAAATTTTATTTTTCACGCAGTAAAAGTGAGCACAAAGCGAAAATGTCCGACACAGAAATCCAAGCAGGACCCGCCGTGAAGGAAGAGAAGAGCAAAATTTATCCACAATTGATATCAAGCATAATAAGTAAATATTGTTCATGACACTCAACTTATAAGATGAACGGAAAGATTTTAGATAATAAAAAATGCTTTCGATCTTACAAATTACCACCGACAACAGTTTTGCACTTATTCACGTTGATATGGTAATATTTAATTTAATTTCACGAACGTCAATTCCGTATTATTTCTTAGCCTCAAAAATGAAAATTGCAAAACTTCACTTTGAAAGTGTTTCCCAAAAAATAAGAATAAGCGTACATGATCGAGAACTTTAACAAGATAAAATGGTACAAGTGTTCGATTTGAAAAAACCGTGTATTCCATAAAGATCTGGAAGTTCGAAAGGAAGGAAAAAAAAAATCTTCTAAATATAACAACGCACGTCGTTTTCTGTATTTATCCCCTTTTCGTAGACACTTGTACCATTTTTTCATTAAATCTCTGAATTATTTTGGCAATCCAAACGTAATTAAGAGATATAATGCGTTTTTCATTTTCTTCAAGTTAATCTGACATTTCTGGCAAGTGGAATATGTATCAGCTGGCCAGCAGTTACTTTATCCAAGTTAACACCAGGTTCTGACTTGGTCGTAAGCAACGACAATGGAGGTTGGATAGTTTCCGCGTTAGGTATAGGCGGCATCATCGGCCCTATTCTATCCGGATCACTACTCGATTACACCGGCAGAAAATGGTTCATCTACGGAACGAGCATTCCATTTATCGCCTGCTGGGTACTCACGTACTTAGCAAAATCTTGGGTGGAACTTTTCATTGCGAGATTCGCCGCTGGCATATCGCTCGGTGCTTTATGCGGCATAGTCCCGGTGTATATTGGAGAAATCACAGAGCCAAAGGTCAGAGGAGCGTGCAGCGCGACGATATCGCTGATGATCCATCTCGGATATATTTTCGGATACGGTCTAGGCCCGTTATTGGACAGAAAGGTAATTGTCAATCAAATTCTCAACTAGAACCTTATGAAATCAACCGAGTTACTGTAAATCTACAGCCATGCCGCATTGACGATCATCGGTTAAAAAGTTGAAAAGATACGAAAACTTCAAATTCTAAGTGATGAATATATCTTCAATATATCTGTGATATGTATTTCACGATTGTTTCAGATGTTCGCGCTGGTTAGTTTAGCGCCGATAGCCGTGTTTCTATTAACTGCTGTATGGTTACCGGAATCGCCTTACTATTATCTGAAGAAGAATAAAGAAAAGTGCGCCGCGCTAGCCTTGGTATGGCTAAGACGCAAAAAGAACAACGATGACGAGATACAGCAGATAAAACAATTAATAGCAAGCGAAAAGAAAAGTGGAATTAAGGAATTATTCTCGGTATCGTCGCACAGGAGAGCACTCTTGCTCGTGTTGCTGGTGATTGCGGGTCAAACGTTGTCCGGGTTTATGGCTATCTCGTCCTACCTTGACACTTTGGTGAAAAATTTCCATGTAAACTTCAATTCTAATGTCATACTTCTTTTAATATCCGTGATATCATTGGTATCAAGCTTGTTATCTTCGTGCTTCGTTGACAAATTCGGTAGAAGATTCGTTTTCCTGAGCTCATCGTATGGCACTACGTTATGCCATTCTGTCATTGGAGTGTATTTCTTGCTTGGACAGTTAAAAGTGAATACCGGTGACTTATCTTTGGTACCGTTGATTGCTCTCATACTTTACATTATCTTTGTCTCATTTGGCTTACTCTCGATCCCAAGCATCATCTCCTCGGAGATATTCCCAACAAACATGAAAGGTTGGGCGACTATGGTTGCTAATGTTTCTGGATCCGTGTTTAACATAATTGTGTCAAAATGTTACCAACTTGTGGCAAATAATTTTGGAGATCATGTAATATTTCTCGCTTTTGCCGTCATCCAACTTGTAATCGCAATTACTGCGACCATCGTCTTGCCGGAAACGTCACGGAAGACATTCAAAGAAATTCAAGAAAATCTACAGTCAAA